AGTCTTTTATTTAGAGACCTTAGCAGCTGTTGAGGACCAGTGCGTAGAACCACTTGCTCATTAGGCACTGCACAACAGGGGTGTTCTAATTGTCCCTTTTCCTGAGAAAGAAAGAAAAGAATTACTTTTATAGAGAAAAGCATCCTGCTCTTTTCCTAGCTGATCTTCCATTGGTATATACCTTATTGAGGAAAGGTAAGCTGTTTGCTGCTTTCCTTTTTGTTTACTAACTTTCAACATAAAAGTTGATTCGCAGGCATCCTCCAGCGATGACAGAATAATCGAAACCTCGTTTTTATTACGTGTCTTTATGATCTCATGCAGGTGACATACTTGCCGTTGTTCTGGTCCTTTGCAGTTACACTGATCAATGCCTATGTTGCCCCATCTGTTTGACCTGTGGGCCGCTTCAGATTGACTCAAGTCTGTCTTAGACACAATTCCAGTATCCTTAGGTAGATAATCTCCTTCCTTTCTGGTTCGACAAGATGTTTTTGTCTTGCTTACATATGATTTTGCCCCTCCAGATTTGGATTTAAGGAGTACTGATTCCTTTAGTAGGAAATGATACTTGTAGACAATCTTCACACTTATGGTGCTCATTGCTCATGGTTGGTCCCTGCTTCCAGATCCTTTCAGTACACAGAAACACACACATATATCCATACATGTATATAAATGCACTTATATGGACCAACATGTATGTGTTTGCACACATACATACATATGTATATACTTACGTGTATATGTATACTTACATACATCTGTGTATATTTAAAAAATATATATACTTAAAAATACATATGTGTGTATATATGTGTATATTTAAAAAATAAAACACATTAGAAGTGTCTATTGATTTTACAAATTCATATTTAGTACTTCAGATGTTCCCTGATGTAGAATGGGATTATGTCCTAGTAAACCGATCATACACCTAGGAAAAGATCGAAATTTAAAGTGTGGTTGTTACAGAATGCCTGTTGTTTTTGCACCACTGCAAGGCAAGATACCAAATTAAACCATCTTCAGTTGGAGGCCACCTGTATTAGTTGCTTTTGTTTTTCTGGTACTGGAGATCGAGCCCAAGGCCTCTGTACTGAGCTACGTCCCCAGTCCCGCCCCCCCTTTTTTTCTTGACACAGGGACTAAGGTGCTCAGACTGGGCTCGAACTTGGGCTTCCCCTGCCTGAACCTTCCAGGGTCCTGGGATTACAGGTGTGTTCTACCATGACTGGATTATGTTAGGTGTTCGTTTAGCTCCTCAGTGTTACATAATGCATCTCCTTTCTGCCACGTCAGGAGTGCCTGGCAACAGCCCCAACAATGATAGAATATTTCATAATTATGCACTTCTGTTACCCTACAGTACATCCGGACATTGATGTTATAGTGGTATATCAATATATTACTGAAAACAGCAGATTTTATTTTGCAGCTATTTTTGTTGTCCCACTGGGAATCTGCCATCACAAGAATGAATTATAGTATCACTCGGAATAGTCCTTTTTGCATGGTTGTACCAACAGCTAATACCTTCATTGATTTCATTTTACTTTTTGTTTTGGAGGTTATATTTAAATTTTAAGTACTGTTTTATAACAATAGAAAATATTTTCACCATTTCAAAGTCAAATTGACAAATCAGAGTACAGTCAGAGAATTCTAGCTTGTGTTCCTGACCCCTTAAAGCCTGTTCCCTCCTTTCCCTCCTTTCTGATAGGTAACCAATTTTTAAAACTGTATGGCTCGTCCTTCCATTGTTTGGGTTGTTTCTTTCTTTCAGTACAGTCTGGGCAAGTGTTCTGCTCCGCTCTGAGCTGTGTCCCCAGCCCGCACTTGTGATTCTACTACCTCAGCCTCCCAGAGTGCTGGCATTGCAGGTGAACACTACTGCCCCGGCTGTTCACTGTTTTTGAACAGCGATGTACGCGCATGGATGTGCGCTGTCCCCTCTGTTAAATGGAGAGGTACTGTACGGACTGTGTCCTGGAGCTCACCCCATGGGTCACAGGGGATTTCTCACGAGTCTTACTGCTCCTGGTGCATCACAGTAGAGCACTACATCTCTGTGCATGGACGTTTGCGTTTTTCAGAACTTCACGTGATGCTTCCGTGGTGGCCTTGTGCAGATGCATTTTTACCAGTGTCATAAATACCTAGCAGTGGGATTGCTGGTCAGCAGGTAGAATGCTTATGAAATTTCATTAGATATTGCCAGATTTCTTTCCATGGGGATTGTGCCATTTTATATCTCCACCGACGACGTGTGAGGGCCTGATTCTTTGCAGCCTTGCTGATGGCATGTATAGTCGAAGTTTTCCAGCCCAGTCAGTAAGAAGTGGTATTTTAATCTGGATTTCTCTATTGCAAATGAAGTAGGGTATTTTCTAAAAATGTAGTCTTGCTGGTCTTAAGCATGGAGCCCAGTCATTGTATTATTAAGCAGCTTTGGCGTGAGCCGAGCCGAGAACTGCTAATGGACACCTCGTACAGGGCTGGACATGAGACAGACCTCATGGCGTTAAGCATAGGCTCACACTGGGGTCCAAGCTCTTAGGAGGAAGTGTGTGGCGACGAAGATAACCCTGGACCTTAGCGAGGCAAACTTGGGTTCCAGCCCTGCTCCCCCACTTGTCAGCACTTGACCTTGTGAAATAAATTCTGAGTTTCTGTTTGCTTAATCATAAATGAGAGTAGAAGAATCCTATTTCTTACCAGTATTGGGGTGATGTGAGATTAAAACAGCGGAGTGCTTCCCACAGTGCTTGACACAGTAAGGCCTAAAGAAATGTGAGTATTATTACAGTTATTATTTGATTGAATGAAGAGAATTAGTAGGGCTCCTGAAAATGGACTTGACAGTAATACAAGAAAGAGGAGGCTCTTTTATGGCTTGCAGTGGTGTTGCTGCGCTTAGGCTCTGGAGAGAGAGGCAAGAAGAGGAAGCAGCTTAGGTGCGGAGAGGGCCAGAAACCACCGGAAGCCAGGCTTCTGCAGCTGGCGTGGCTTGTTGCGTTGCCACAGCGCCCACCAGGAAGGTGTGTGTGCCCCGGCGGTGAAGTGTGACTAGGAGCTGGTAGCTGCCTGCTTTGCAACTGGTGCAGGCTGCGCCCCCAGCTGCCCTGCTGACCTTGGTCTTACAGGAAGTTCGGATGGAGAGACAATGTGACCTTGGGCGCCTTCTGCAGCCCTCTTCGCTCCTCACGGCCCCTGGACCAAGTTTGCGTGTGGATGGCCCTTCAGTCCCCTGCTGTCGGACATCCCTTTTCTTAACATGCAGGGAGCAGTGGGTGACATTCACGGAGGTATTCCAGCCACTAAGCCTGAGCCACACCTCCCTGCCATGGGAGGGAGCTCTGCCCTAACAGTGTCCTCCTTACAGTGTTCATCTTTTATAAAGCTCAGTTGAGCTTTTAGTTGTTGTTCATTTCTGCTGTTTTATATTGTTGCCTTGATTTTTTGTTGGTTTTTTTCATTTATCTCTCTTTCATAATATCAGTCCCTGTATTCTCATTTCTTTCTTCTTTTTTTTTTTCTTTTTTTTTTTTTTGAGACAGGATGTCCATATGCAGTTCAGGCTGGCCTTGAGCTCACTTTGTAGCCCTGGTTGATCTTCAACTCGCAACGATCCTCCTGCCTCAGCCTCCTGAGTGCTGGGTGTACAGGCGTGAGCCACCACAACTGGCTCTGTGTTCTCATTTCTTTGGGTTGATTTTTCTCTCTTTAGATTTTTGAATGGATCCTTAAGCTCATTAAATTCTGTATTTTTTTTTCTACTAAGTGTGTTTAAAACATGAGTGCTCTGTCTTTCAGCTCTAAGTATTTTATCAGTTGGTTTGAATTCCTGTATAGATATGAGTGACCTTTGTGTGGCTTGTGTTTGTTTGTTTGAAGTCTTTTGAGTATTGAACCCAGGGCCTTGTCAGTGAGCTACATCCCCAGCCCTTTTTTATTTTGAGACACCTTTCAGAAAGTTGCTCAGGCTATGCTTGAATTTATTATCTTGCTGCCTCAGCCTCCCAGAAGGCTGAAATTATAGGCATGCACCACATCCACCCGCTGTGCGTGTTTTATAAATTTTCAAAGGAATGGATTTTTTTTGCTATTATTTGTATTATTCATGTCTGATTTCATTGCATGATAATCTAGGTATACAACTTCTACGGTATCATTTTTGGAGGAAATTCATGGGAACGTGATTTATATCTTAAATCGTGCATTGTCAGTTTTTAATCACTGCTTCATGTGTTTGGAAAAAATGAATATTCTGTTTGCTGGGTGCTGAATTCTTAAAATAGCAATTAGCTTGAGTTGGTCAATTGCTTTGTTCAAGTCCTTTTAGCCTCAGTGCCTGGCAAAGTTCATCCAAGCAGCTGCGTTTGCGATGTTCCAAGACACAAAAATATCCATTGAGGACTGATTGGTTTTGTGTAGCTTATAAAACAAAGCCAGGCTAAGGAAGCATCCCAACCCTTACAGTTTTTTCAGACAGAGTTGATTCTTAGGAGTTGAATTCTTTAAGTGCCAGCTTAATTAGCCTGTAAAACTGAGGCTCTGGCTTTTGCAATCATGAATATTTATGCTGTGTAATGATGTAAGAGTGGAACTCATCAATATTCATATGAGGAACAAAAGGTGGAGAACCGTAATCCATGTCCTGGTGGCCAGCGTTAGGTGAGGCCCTTTTGCCCGTGGCCACATGGTTAGAAGGTGTCACAGAAACAACCTCATCAGTTACGGGGACAGAATTCAGCCTTCATGTCGGTCAGAGAGGGTTGTGGTGAAGCTCAGCCAAGATGATGGATGCAGAGTGTTTGGAAACCGTAGATTCTCAGACACCACAGGTGCGGGTGGAGGGCGCCTTGGGACAGAGTGCCAGGTGGAAGCGGCCTCTGTGCGTCGTATCTCCCTTTACCCTCCAGAAGGAGCTCGGACAGGATGAGACCGAAAGAAATGTCTGCAGACCCTGCAATCCCCCTTTATCCTTCTCTTCTCAGTGCGGAACACAGAAACTGCAGCCATGACGACCCACGTCACCCTGGAAGATGCGCTGTCCAACGTGGACCTGCTCGAGGAGCTTCCGCTCCCTGACCAGCAGCCATGCATCGAGCCTCCGCCGTCCTCCATCATGTACCAGGTGATGGAGACAGCAGAGCACACAGGGGGCCCAGGCATCCGAGGGATCCCTAAGATGCTTTGCCCTGTAGGCTTGGTGGGGGAGCTGCAGCTCAAAGGTGAAGGGGTTGAGAGCTGATGGGGTGGGTCCCTTGTGTACTCAAGGAGTCCAGTATAAGGTGCAGATGAGCTGATAAATGTGCACCGGGACTATTTACTTACCCCTGGGAGGGCTGGTTGATGTTTTCTGACCCAAATGCCTCCTCAAGCGTTGCTGCTGCTGCACCAGCCGTGATCTGGAAGCTCTGCCCTTACGAAAGAAATACTGCAATTTAGAACCCCCTAGAGCCTGCCTGGGTAATTACTTCTCCTTCCTGTTCAGTGAGAGGAGCATTAGAACTCCGCACAGCAGCTACAGCTCAGGGAAGTGGGTCACGGTTGTTAGCGTTTGCCTGAGAGCAGATCTTGTGATAAACGCATCGGATTGCACAAAGGCGTGACCCTGGCAGGGCGAAGCGGGGAGAGCACTGGCGCAGCTGGACAGGCATGCGAAGCCCCTTGTCTGGCGGAGCCAGGCCAGATGCTGTGATCAGAAAGCAGATGGGTATTGGAAATTCGTGTCATATTTGACCTTCTGATAGTCCTTGGACTGCTAAATATGACTAAATACAAATATGTACATTTTAGTTGTATTTAATAAATTATTCAGCACATGCTTGGTGCCTCCATTCATAAATTTGATTTATTCACATTTCCTAATCCAGATTAAAATTTTCATGATATAAATTTTTTTAACTGTAAACAATGCAGAAAAATACTGTATAACAAATAAAATTATCCTTGTAAGCATGCCCTCTTCTTTCTGTATACACACATACTTTTTTTTTTT